TCAGACCTTGACCAGAACGTGAGAAACGTGAGAAACCCCCATCAACCCGTGACGGGCCAGGAGGGAATGAACTGGCATCCGTGGTAGACCGGGGCCGAACCGTAGTGCGCCTTTTCCCCGCACGGCCCGTCACGGATACCGTGAAAGACCGTGAGAAAACTTGACAAGACCTAATAAAACTTGAACACAGAGACAAATATTGCTAAATTCCCGCGGCGCACTATGTTTCAGGCAAACGGGGCTGCCGTGGCCGCCGGGAACATAGTGTAAACGTAGCATTACTTGAATCACCCAAATAAGGATTCCAAAAATGTATAGGTTGTTATACCTCCGACCTTAAATGACGGCACTATGGTAAAAAAAAAAAAAAGGTCAATGCACTTTAGAAATTCACCAACACAGTTAACATCGTCCGATTCTAATGATTTTAGTGTCTAATAATATGTTTTCTGATATAACAACTTCAACTAAGCAACTTTTAAAATCAAAAGTGGTTTCCATAACCTTGAAATTTCCCCCAAACACATGAATAAGAAGTTGTTAGATGTTTGACACCGAAACGGCAGCCATTTTGAATTTACATGGTAAAGGTAAGCACTTTTACTTTTGAAAGTTGTATAGTTGAATTTTCCATGTCAGAAAACATATTATAAGACCCTAAAATCATTAGAATCGGACAATGTTAACTGTGTTGGTGAATTTCTAAAGTGCATTGACCTTTTTTACCATAGCGCCCTCATTTAAGGTCGGAGGTATAACAACCTATGCATTTTTGGAATCCTTATGACCAGACGAGTAATTTGATATGCAATTTAATAAGGTTCAATGTGTTGGTAAATTTGACTACCAGTCAAAAGTGTGTTGACCTTTCAACTTTTTTGACCATAGCGCCCTCATTTAAGGTCGGAGGTGTAACAAACTATACATTTTTTGGAATCCTCACGACCAGACGAGTAATTTGATATGCATATTGACACGATTGGAACTATTTGAATTTCTATCCCTGTGTGACCTTTGTTGACCCCTCACGAAAATGCCTGGAATTTTCAAGGGGGCAGCCCAAGTCAAAATTGTTCGGTATTCATCAGGGAACACAAAAACACTTTCAAACTTTTGTTCCCAGAGATTGGTCACGGGACCTACAGGCTGGTCTCCTACTATATTAAAGGGACTCTATGCGATATCCCTGCAGGCCTATGGGCGTATTAAACAGTATTGCATGGATTTCACGAACAAGACATGGGTCAAAGGTTGCCCTTTGGTTATCAACCCCCCTCCCCCTCTCTCTCTCTCTCTCTCATTCTCCCTTTCTTTTTCAAACGTGCCTTCCATCCTATGGCTACGTTGCGATCACATTTTATACGCCGTATTAAAGTGAAGGTGACAGATTTAGAGCGAATTAATCGAAAGTATATAACCAAAAAACAAGAACAGCAAAATGACAGTGCTGATTAAAGATAAACTTGAGTTCTGGTAAAAAAAGAAAATGAATTTTCACAGAATTTAACGAAACTTACACTGAATGTTTTAGATTACAAATAAATGTCATGTGCCAAACAATTTTGGAAGAAAATGTATATTGGCTGAGTTATGAGCATAGAAAGATAAGGAAATCAGGGTAGTACTAGCCCCGACACCATGTGTGTTGTCCCATATACATCTATCTGTGTAAGTGATTGTTACTTTACCAAGACTCTGCCAAAGTTATGATGATTTTGATGACTCTAGAACCTTGCATTACACACCATTACTTACATGCTATATGATCAACTTTTCTAATCCATTGCACACCTTTTCTTTCACAATGCAATCGCATTACCAGAACTCAAGTTTATCTTTAATAGAGGGGTTGCAAAATTGATCTAATACTTGGCGGAAAATACATATTTTATTGAGGGGGCGCAAAATTTACCTTGTACTGAGATAGCGAAAAATTGATCTGAAACTTCGGGGGGGGGGGGTCGCTAAATTGATCTTTTATTGAGAGGGCGCAAACATGATCTGAAGCTAAGGGGCAGGAATTTTTATATTCGATTGAGGGGGCGCAAAATATATCTTAAACTTAGGGGGGCGCAACATCTATCTTCAAATAAAAATGGGGCGCAAAAGAGAACTTTCATGTAAGGGGTGTAAAATTGATCTGAAACTGAGGGGGGGGGGGCGCAAAATTGAATTGAAAATTATGGGGCAGAAATGTATATCTAATTGAGGGGGCGCAAAATTTATATTTCATTAAAGGGACGCAAAATTTATATTTTATTAAGGGGGCGCAAAATTGATCTGTAACTTAGGGTGCAGAAATTTATATTTTATTGAGGGGCCGCAAATTGTTCTGAAACTAAGGGGGTGCAAAATGTATATTTTAGGTTGATCATGTAACATATACGTATTGGTTTGTACTACAAGGTTCTGAAACCATCAAAATGATAAGAAATTTTGCCAAGCTTTGGTTATAAAGTAACAAGCACCGTACATAGAAATATGTATATGGGACTACACAAACAAACTTTGTATAGTCCTACAATACTATATGCGTATTGTAAAGCCAAAATGTGTTAATATTGTTTTTGTCTTAACGTCGCTCTTTTCCAAATCCCCAATTTTAAGATTTGACTTTCATTACAACTAAGTTTGTAATCTTTAGAATGGTAGTGAAGAATCATAACATCACCTAGATCAAAACTTACTGAGAACTGTTAACTCTCTGAAGGCAGACAATGCACACTGCGATACACCAGCATTGTATTGCACTTTATTTTTTACCATAATGTTTTCAAATATATGTACACTGTCGCTCATAAAGGTGGAATATTTTAGTTTTACCCCAATTAATGGAATTATTTTAAAATTATTTAAAAATAATAGATCTAGATAATAGTATACATTCTCAGATTTTATTGAATAATAATTTGCCAATGTGTGTTTTGGGTGACTGCTAAAGCATGTGTATGCTTCTATGCTTATCAACTAGGGGACCTATGCCCTTAAGTCATAAATGACAGTAATGAGGATTAATGCCCCACAAAAGGGCACTAATATAGCACATCGACACAGTTTTAATCCTGGGGCCTCACAGTTACGAGGCCATTGTTTTGTCACTGAACCATGACTGTACGCAGCGGGGGCTAGGGTAGGGGGCAGTTTCCATAAATAAAAAAAACAAAGAAAATGCAATAAACTTTCAATAATTTATTGCATTTTACCCCGGTCCCCAACATAAACGAATCCTCAGGACGGCCATGCATTATGGCTCAAGGCAAGGAAACACAGAAGATTTTGTTATGTTGGGTACCGGGGTAAAATGCAATAAATTATTGAAAATTTATTGCAGTTTCTGTTTTTTTTTATATTTATGGGAATCGCCCCCTACCCTAGCCCCCGCTGCGTACAGTCATGGTTCAGTGACAAAACAATGGCCTCGTAACTGTGAGGCCCCAGGATCAAAACCGTGTCGATGTGCTACATTAGTGTCCTTTTGTGGGGCATTAATCCTCATTACTGTCATTTATGACTTAAGGGCATAGGTCCCCTAGTTGATAAGCACAGTAGCATACACATGCTTTAGCAGTCACGCAAAACACACATTGGCAAATTATTATTCAATAAAATCTGAGAATGTATACTATTATCTAGATCTATTATTTTTAATTTTTTTTTAAAATAATTCCATAAATTGGGATAACAAAAAAATATTCCACCTTTATGAGCGACAGTGTACATTTATTCTTTTCATTTTCATTCTCATTTTCTTCTTCTTTTGTATTTCGTACCTGTTCATTCTTGATTTATAATATAATATAAATATTATCTGTTTCGCCTTGACTTGACAAAGATAATATCTTCCCTGAATAGACAAAGATAATATTATCTCCCTCACATCGACTTGACAAATAGACTTATTTGTAAATCAATATGAATGATAAACAGAGGTGAATCATACTGTACATGCATACAGGATTATAGAAAAGAGGGGCGTTAGTAGAACATTTCCTTTGGGGAGAGGGGGTCGTCTGACTATATTAATAGAAATAAAAGCAAAATAAAACAATAGTATAAAAATTGAATTTAATAATTGTATGACCGGAAAAATAACGTGATTCAAAAGCGTTATATTTTGTTTTAGCTATGTAATACTCACTACAAGTATATTATTTTATTTTGTTCAGCTTTTAATTTGCTGCATCGACCCTTATCTTCCTCGTGACATGTTTGATATGGAGGGGGAAAATACCGTAAGTCACCGATCATGTCCCAGCGTTACTGAGTCATCAAATATTAGAATAATCTTTAAAGAGCGTTTTTTTTTTCATTCGAGGGGGGGGGGGGGGCAAAGTGTCTCTGTGTCCCTTCTCCCATACAACCTGTAGCTACCCCACTGACTCAGACTACGGACTTCGATCATGCCTCACCAGGTATTAGTGATCCATTTGTATGATATGAAATATTAAAGTAAACATCAGACTGAAATCAAGCATCTATTTCATGTAATTCAGGCGCAGAGGCGTTGTTTGAACAGTTTGAAGGGAGTGTGCGTATCTCTGTGTGGGCAGGGGGGGGGGGGGTTGTAGGTTATTGGACTACAACCCTTTAAAACAAACAAAAAGATACCATTAATTAATCATATTTTCTGCAGTCTTAAGAACTCATGCTTAATTCAATGTCATAGATAGGAATAATCCATAGTAAGATTGTGTCTTACCGCATTAATAATGGAGATTATTAGATTTTAGATATTAGATTGTTACCATTGATAATTAATCGACTTTTATGCTACAATTATCGTTAAGAGGCCCGGATTTTGCCAATATGTCAATAAACAATATAAAAAAGCAACCCCCCCCCCCCCCTTATTTCGAACTTTACAACAAATGTTTATGTATTCAAGAGCAGAAATTTACGAGGGAAGTGAAATTCCCCATCCCACCCCCTAAAACAAGGCCGATAAGCAAATATCCACGCAAGTTATTATCATTAATTGTTTTGTTGACAAAGTGCTCAACATGGCGGCTAAAATAGCACTAGCTGTGGGATTATTCATCGTAATCTGTGGGTCACCTGGTAAGTGATAGCTAGGTTTCATTGGTCAAGATTGGTATAAAATGGCTTTTAGAAATTATAATCTATACAAAGTTATTGTTAATTCAATAATTCATTCGGTTTAAATGAAGACAGGGCCAAAGGAAAAACTGAAACTCCTGCTATATATTGAATTAGCACACTTTGAAAGTAGAGGTAAACCCGTTCATCCTGGTAAACCGACAATCCCACAAGATCGAGATCCTTCGGTATACCGTCAGTGAAAGTGACCAACATTTCCAAGAGGCAAACAACGTCGGTCTTGCAAACCTTCTGAACAAATTAATTGTTAGAAATCCCACGTGACCGACCATTACAGATATATTGGTCTCTCCCAAATGTACCATGTTAGTGTCTTAGCGTTTTCAGTAGACATTTCTAACGTCCTCAAGGGGACTTAGTTCTGAAGTCACAGTAATAGGCCTATTTCAGAACAAACTATACCATTTGTTCAGGAATTTCAAAAAGTGCAATCAGGGAACAAATTTGTATTTGTGGCCTTTTATGTGAATTTTGTTTTTGTGTTTTCTTTGTTTAGAATGTATCTCATCACATTCAATTCATTGATCTACATTTGCCACACTCCACCCAGGTGAAGTAAATGGGTACCTGGTAGGAATTTATTCCTTGAAACGCAGCGCGCGTAACAGCTGCACTGCTAAAGCCAGGGTAATTATGCTGCATTATTGTAGAGCGCTTAGAGACTTCTACATATGAAGTGTTAGGCGCTATATAAGCAAGGATAATTATTATTATTATTATTCAAAGACATTCATGAACACACTTTTATGTTTCGAAAAGGTTTGGGGGAAGAAATCACAACTTGAAGAGTAAATGTGTCAGTTCGTCATGGACTCTGACAAATATTGATACCCACTTTAGGCATGCAAGACCTAACGAACCATCATAGTCTGAGATCGTTTTGTTTTCTGAAATCATCAAAAATGAATCGATTCACGACAACCAGATATCTTACTCCTTTTTGTTTGATGCAGGTCTAAAATCATCCCAGGTAGTTCCAGATGGTCTGGTTTACACCGAAGTCAAGAAGAATCTGGTCCAAGGAGTTCAAGGTGTTCTTACTTGTCGCTTCGATGGAGTCCCATTGGCAGTCTACTGGAGAAAGGGCCTTGATCCTGATGATCTAAGCCCCGTGGTAGCATGGCATGATGGTAAAGTATCAGGTCCAAGATTCGAAGATGGGAGCTGTGACGTGGACGAAAATTATTCCTTGATCATCAACAATGTCTCAACGGCAGATGCTGGAAGAATGTACTGCACAGTTTCTAACAACAATGGAGTTCTGATGAACAACTATACTGATATTTTAGTTGCAGGTAGGTTATTTAGAACAAAATTCTAAAATTCATTTACACTTTTGATCAGTAATGATTAAAACAAAATCCTATGTAACCAACTTAAAACTAAACATGCTAATCTGTGCAATCTACTTTATCACAAACAAGATCAGTCATTATTATGTTTGGGAGAGGTTTCTGTGAAGAATAAAGGTGTTAGCCCGTCATGCACACTTAAATCATAGTCTCTAATTCAGTGATCATTCGCACATTAGTCCACGATCCACAACGACTGCATATTCAGCTAAACTATATACTTCAATCTGTTCGATACAGGTCTAAAAGCATCCCAGGTGGTTCCAGATGGCGTGGTTTACACCGAAGTAAAGAAGACACTAGTCCAAGGAGTTCAAGGGATTCTAACATGTCACTTTTACGGAAAACCACTGGCAGTCTACTGGATTAGGGGCCGTGATCCTGACGATCTAAGCCCCATGGTTGTTTGGCTTGATGGAGAAGTATTTGGACCAAGATACGATGATGGAAGTTGTGACGTCGACGAAAATTATTCCTTGATCATCAACAATGTCTCAATGGCAGATGTTGGAAGAATGTACTGCAAAGTTTCAAACTACAAGGGATTTATAATGCAAAACTACACTGATACTTTAGTTGTAGGTAGGTTATTTCGCCGAAGGAAAATCTTAAACATTTTATAATGATTGTAGGTCTACAAGGTGTAAAAGAGAAAAATGACAGTTTTGATCAATAATGATTTCAAAAACTTATAAAACTACCTGCCTTGTTGATAAAAAGCATCACAATAATGAGACATAAACAAAGTAATATAACACTGACAAATTTACAGCCATAACACAACAATAGAAAATAAGTTAAAACACTTCAGTAATTTAAAAACTATATTGACAGGCTTAACAGATACAAATTGAAATAAGTTATTAACATCAAAATATGTTCGGTATTCGATTTAATATTTCAATAAGAAGCATTTAATGTTTTGGAACTTGTAGATTTCCTTTTTCCCAATAAGATATTCTTGCTCAATTATCATGATTTTGGGATTGAATTAGCTTCATCTACTAATAATGTAAATTTTTTGGATATTATTTTCCTACATTAAAAGATATGTATTTTTAGCACTTGCTCTGATATAAAGTGGCTATCATCATTTTTCCTTCAGATACTGCAATCACAACAAATCCACAAGCCACTCTGCAGATGCGTCAAGCCACTCATAGTATCCTGCAATGCACCGTTCACATCAAGGCCAGAAGAGTCTCTTGGAAAAAAGGAACTACTTCCTCAGCGAATGAAAGCTTGGTGGTAATTGAAAACAACCAAGTTGTTGCTAAAAGAACTGGTGCTCGGTACGACGGCCAGTACAACATCACCCAAGATTACTCGCTGGTCATCAACCAGTTACAGATCCATCGTGAAGGTCTTTATGTTTGTGAGGTGACCGACTTTGACACTGGGATATCCTTTCGGAATCACACATTTGTTAATGTGGTTGGTATGTATTTATCACGTAACAAACAAAATAAAACACAAACATAATAGAATGATGGGAAGAATTACGGTAAAACTTTTAAATGTTCTTAGATTATAAAAAAGAGGAAAATATCCAAATCAAAACTGTTTAATAGTTGTGTTCAGGGGAAAATCCATATATTTTTATTTCTAGTGAGTTTTGAATATTTACCTTTATTTGTATATCAACTAAGCTATTAAAAACTGACAGTCGTTTAAAAATACTAGATGTGGGTTGTCAATATTAGTGAGGGGATGTGGAGGTCGTACTACAGCACACTCATTTAGAATATGCTCAACAGTCTTAAGTTTGACGTCATGGACACACAAGCCAGAGTCTTTGACACCTCAGAGCGTTATCCTCTCTGCAAGGCGGCCTGCACCTGATCGTAGGAGGTTCAGTTGAATCTAGGGCTCCCTGAGAAACATTGCAGCCAGGAGGGTGAGAGGCCCTATAGCTTTAAGATTTGTTTCTGATCCTCTCAGGGATAGCTGGTTATGTAGCACCAGCTAATTAAAAGTTCTCAACATATTGACATAGTACTAGAGGTATCCTTGAATACAGTATGTACGGGGGCTCTTTTTATAGAGGAATTTATGCAGCATGTTGTCCAGCCGAGCAGCTTTGCAGTAAAGCTGTCTGCAGATGTTATCCACAATTATAGTTGCCCCAAAACTATTTAGCCACTGATGAGTGCCAGTTTCGACGGAGAAGCACAACTGTTTGGGTGCATTTCTGTTTCTGCGTGTGTGTGTCAGAGAGGGGGAGAGGGAGAAATGGAGAGAGCAGGGAGTCGAGGGGGGGGGGGATACTACACACTAAAGAAAAAGAACCACTTTAGTAAAATGTTAATTATAACATTGTTTTATAATTGACTTTGTTGATCCGTTAGTTTATTATCTGTATAATTGAAATGAAATTTTAAAGGACAATGTGACAAACCATTGTTATTTCAAATTTAGCCAAGCCTCTGGAACCGTTTCCAATCATCCAGGAATGTCTGAATACTGAACAGCATGACTCAAACTACTGCATCCTGGTCGCCAAATCCGGAATGACTCTCACATGCCAAGCGATGAAGTACTACCCCTCTATCAACCTTGTATTTCTATACGGGTCCAGAGTACTTGAGCCTTCAGATACAAGAGAATGGAATAACACAGACGGGACGAAAAACAAAACCATCACTATTGCCACCAAGGGTAACAAAGAATTGTATACATGTGTGGCTTCCAGTATTCCAGGAACTAATGAAAATAAATCCACATCTGTCTTACTCCAAGGTGACGAACCAGTGAAGTCAACTGTGGTGGTAATCTTAGTTTGTAAGTTATCTCAAATAATGGACATTCTGAATGTTAATTTGAGGAAATCCGAGAAATCATCAACATTTAAATATAACGTGTAAACATTAAGCCATTGAGAACAGGCAAATTCAGTAACCTTACTACGGACCTGATGGACACTATTTGGAATATGAAAGTATAGTGCAAAAGCTTCAGAACATTTTAAGAAAGAAAGTGATACTCAGGAATTCAGCAAAATATAAAGTTTGTACACCATATTTTTTATTATATACAGGTAAGCTAAATAATTTCGTTTACATGTAAATAAAGTTTAAAATTCGTGTGCTATGGTTTCCCGTGAAAGCTTGTATTATCTATGTCTACCACAAAACAGCACCTTGAACCTGTGAACATAATTCTACCGATATGTGCAGCTTTGTATTTATCTTCTTTGTAATTTTACTTTAGGAATGTTTAGAGAACAAGACCTTCATAAAAATAAAATTTTAATTGATTAGAACTACATTGTTAGATTTTAAAATGAACAAGCCTTTTGTTTATATCAAAGATTGATGACCAGAAGGTCATTGTGATATTTTGAACGCTTTATAGCATGCAAACTTGTTGCAATAGTTATGTTTTTCTCAATGTTATCTTCTTCGCTTTTGATTTTTTTTCTTCAGATTTTGCTTTAATGATACTCATCTCCTCAACGGCATATTTCATTTGGAGAAAGAAACAACGTAAGTGATTCGGTAGCATGATAAATTTGATAGTGGGAGATGCAAGTAATTGCGAAATAGTTAAGGACAAATCTAAAGGCTTAATAGTGAAACACCATTTATTCACCTTACAAATAAAGTTTTATTTTCTCTTTTGCTTTATCGATACTGATAGATGATCACATTTATGTAATTTTTGAAGGAAATTTCACCAATTTTCATAAGTGAATTATTGTTATTTTTATGAATGTAAAATGCATGTGGATAACATTATATTTTAAAGCCCTATAAAGTAATCGGTAAACTTGCAAACTTGATCAGCTTTTGATTTCTAGCACTGTAAAATAACAAACAAGGGAAATGCTCTCGGCGGTTTCGCCTGCATTACGCAATTTGATATGATGACAAATTGAGGTTGGGACATTATTTATAGGCAAGGTGGCCCATTGGCAGGCCCCCAAAATGAAATCCTTTGTATATAATCAGCATTTTGAAGTGAATATTGACTAAAAATCAACAAAAGAATTATTTACTATAATTTGTACCAAGGTTGATAACTTTAATGAAATATGAACAAATAACAATAATTGATTTATTAATTCTCATATTAAAGTTGTGAAAACATAACCCAAGTATACTGACATAAAATGACCTTTGACCTAGAATTTGTGACCTGGAATTTGTGGCATATGATTTTTGATACTTGATAACCCTTGTGTACAAGTTTCATGGAATTTGAACAAAGACTTGATGCTAATGCCACAACAAAGTCTAAGTTTGCAGACCTGAATTACATTTGATCTTGACTTCGTTTCGTAAAAGACTAATCACATGATGGGGTATACTTGAAAACCCCTTTGTTCAAGTTTCAAGGAAAAGGAATGTATACTTTCAAAATTATGATAACAATTCAAAAACTTAACCTAAACAAATCCTCTGTGTGACCATGCCTTGAGCAATAATGCATGGCCATCCAGAGGATTTGTTTATGTTGGGGACCGGGGTAAAATGCAATAAATTATTGAAAATTTATTGCATTTTCTGTTTTTTATTTTATTTATGGAAACTGTCCCCTACCCTAGCCCCCGCTGTGTACAGTCATGGTTCAGTGACAAAGCAATAGCCTCGTAACTGTGAGGCCCCAGGATTAAAACCGTGTCGATGTGCTATATTAGTGCCCTTCTGCGGGGCATTAATCCTCATTACTGTCATTTATGACTTAAGGGCGTAGGTCCCCTATTTGATAAGCATAGTAGCATACACATGCTTTAGCAGTCACGCAAAACACACATTATCAAATTATTATTCAATAAAATCTGAGAATGAATACTAATATCTAGATCTATTATTTTTAAATTATTTTTTAAATAATTCCATAAATTGGGGTAAAACAAAAATATTCCAACTATATCTAGATCTATTATTTTTAAATTATTTTTTAAATAATTCCATAAATTGGGGTAAAACAAAAATATTCCAACTATAATTATGAGCGACAGTGTATACAGCACTACAGAAGGATAACTAACATGATGTATAAGCTATAAGGGGGCAAAAACCATATCGTGTTTGCGTTCTAATAAAATGTTGACAAATACAATATGTGATTACCATTTCTTCTCAATATTGTAGAAAAAGAGGTTTTGCAAGCACTTGAACAACGTCTTAGTGAGGTATTGATGCAGCATTACAGAAGGACATCTGACTGCATTGACAAGAAACGTACTATGAAGGCTAATGACATTACTGATATTAGGACTGCTCTCTGTGATACTCATCAAATGCTGATTGATTGGCGTGAAAGTCAGAGATCTACAAGAAACCAAGAAACGATCGACATAGAAACTGAGTCAGGTAATGCTAAATACTTCTTCAGCAATTTAGGGAGTGGAGATAAAAAAAAAACCCCAAGAGTATTAACATATCTCCTCCCGATAAAAGAAGAAAGAGTACTTTTCCTTCAAAGAACTTTCTTACCCTTTCCTTCAACTACCTGATTTTTACGATAAATCGCACCCGGGTCTAAAGCTGTATACGCCTAATGCTTTTAAACACTAGGGCCCCGTTCCTAAAAACCGTCATAAGTCAAACTTCTTGACTATCCCATTGGAACGTGTTTTATATAATTAACACGCGTTTCAATGGAATAGTCAAGAAGTTATACTTATGACGGTTTCTAGGAACGGGCCCTAGATTACGAAGGCGGGTTGAACGGTATTTGGCTATACCAGATACGCTCACTGACAAAAAAGAAGAACGGAATATCGATCGGCCAAATTTCCAAATTTCGTTACAAAAAAAAAGTGCTCTTACCCTCTTACCCTCTCTTACCCTTTCCTATAACTACCTGATTTTACGGTAAATCGCACCCGGGTCTAAAGCTGTATGCGTCTAATGCTGATAAACACTAGAATACGAAGGCGGGTTGATCGGTTTTTGGCTATACCAGATACGCTCACTGATAGACAGCCTAACCAACCTCGTAGCAATCGATTTATCCTTTTTCTTGGAGGGCCGGGGAAGGGGAGTACTGAGCACAGGCGCGTACGCAGGGCGTGGTTTTGAGGGTCGAACCCCCCCCCCCCCTCAAATAAAAAAAACCCTCCTCGAGGGGTTTTCCTTACCTCCAACCCCCCCCCCCCTCCCCCCTCCAAACGGAATGAAATAACGATCCGCCAAATTTCCAAATTTCGGGACAAAACAAAGTGCTCTTACGCACCCCCCCCCCCCCCCCCCCCCCCCCGTTGCGAAATTTTCGGCGCGGCTTTTCCAATTAAAAAAACAAACCCTTCGAAAAAAATCCTGCGTACGCTCCTGACTAAGCAATACTAAGCAATATTATATCCCTTTATCTTTAGTTTGGTAATAATGTTTACATTGTGTTATAGCTTATGCCTGGCCTTCTAACGAGGAACTCAAAACGATTTCACGTCATCTCACACAAGAATCGATGAAGGAAGTCTGTATGAAACTAAACATTGACTGTCAATATGATGATGCTAATGACGAAGGGGAACGGTTCAAAACTCTACGTAAATGGAGAACCAAGGCGTCAGCTAAACCTTTAGAGGATAAATGGAAGCAATTGTTTTCAGCCTTGGAATCAAACCAGCTTGAAGGTACCTTCTTACCAAGTGCAAATGTATGTTACTTTGTCCAAACTATAAACATGTGAAACTAAATTATTTTCACTCCTCGTACCAATTTGATGTTTTTGTGGTGTTCGTTGCTCAAGAATGAAAGATTTGTTGTTTTGTTTTGTAAAATAACCATTTCAGGGAGTGTTTCACAAAGACTAAGATCAACTTAAAGTTGGTTTTAACTATGGCAGGCCATTCATTTCACTGGTTGCTCTCACCATTATGATCTTTAGATACAATTTTTTCCTTCGATAATGAATTATCAACAAATTTAAATTCTGCAGATATGTGACCATGATTTGTACGTCCCTTGAGAGACCAACGCCAGTAAATGATGAGAGCAAAATTCAGCATAAAGTGGCATGAACGGCCTGCCATATTTAAGTCTTACTTAAAGTCGATCTTAGTCTTTGTGAAACACTCCCCTGGTCTTATATATTTATTTCCTCATAATAATATATACATCTTCATATTATCAGCAATTGCCTCCATTTCTGGAGGGATATACAGTGTTTCCTACATGCAATATTTCTTCTATCTGTAAACGATAATTTCAGAAGTAAAACAAAATATGAAGAGTTATCTGTTTTGTTCTTTTCTTGAAAGACTTTTTGAAAGATTGACTGGCTGAATCAAGGCCTTTGTTCAGTACTTTTCGATGTAAGCTGTAATACGTCAAATTCTTATTTAACATGAATCGGGACAAATCAATGTTCACATACTTACACAACTATAGAATTTGATAAGGGTATTAATAATAGTTGTTAACTGTATTATTGTTCAAGAATATACACGTCTATGTGATTACCATCTGAATTAGAAATACCTCGCAACTTCTAAGGGTCATGTCAATTTATTTGTAGTCAAGTTACCACTAAACGTAAAAGATTCCATTCATTTTCAATTTTATTATGTAACGATCTGTGTGTGTTTGAAAAGCCTTATGTGCATTGCCGGTAATCCATTGTAATAATAAACATGGTTGTCTGTTTATAATCCTCAGGTTTGCTGCCAACTTTAAGAGGACCATACATTTACAAAGCTGAGTTAGTTGATCTGGCTTTTCATCTGCTCATGCAGGATCTTAGTCCTGTCGCTAAAGAGCTGGGTATCAATGTCACTAAACTGGTATCATATCGACCCGTATTCAGTCCTTCACACCTTGAGAGTAGTACCATCAACTTACTCATTGAACTCTACTCATCCATTAGAGACACCAGCCTAACAAAACCAGAACGAATGGTCTTCTTCAGGAAAATAGCGAATTCCAAGTATGATAGTGACGCTATTACAGGAATGTTTGGTAAGATTATATTTATATCGAAACTGAAATAGGTTTTATTATTTGAGGTACAAAACCTATTGTAAGGTTAATGTTGTAGATACATAATCTCAAGAACATTGATTGGTCTAAGTGGAACCAGAGTGAGACGTACTAGATGGAAAGTCTTGATCGACAATGTCTGGAACAGACAAGGCACCTAGCAAGCAAGCAAGCAAGTGGTACATACTGGCTTCCAAGAACTGACATCCACATTATAACGTTATAGCATTATAACATTATAACATTACTGATAATGGTACAGTTTGAATTATCTGGTTGTCGCAAATCTTTCTATTGACATGTTCAAAGTATAAAAGAACCGTTCAGCATTTTCTTTACTTTGATTTCTAAGAGTACAACATGAGCTATGGTGAGCTGTGTTCTATCTCGGAAGCAATCAATACAAACCTAGAAGGAAGTGCTGATCAAGGTAAGAATCTGCTGAAGCATAAAGTTATTATGGAATATAGTTTGATGCATTCATGATCCAATGCGATATCATTTTGGTCTGATCCAATGATACGGCTTTCTTGTCAATTTTCATCAATTCATCAATCAAGCCCATATTTAGAGGCATTTTAAGATTTTTAACGACTAATCCAACCTGTTTTACTTTTACACTTGAATTAAGCAAACTATCACGCAAAAAACAAAAAAACAAACAAATTTGGATAGTCGAATCCGTAATTGTGTCACTGATTTCATTCAGACAAATGCACTCGAAATCACGTTTAATAATGACGTTAGAAGTTGATCTTGTTGAAATTTTTTTTTATTTAGAAGCTACTTCCGGCATGCTTCAAGGTTCAGGAATCTGCGAATCACTTCAGAATGTGCTACAGCTGACTGATCAAGACAAAGCTGACGGTTTCGATGCCTCACAACCATTAACAGCATTTGCGCTGTTAAAGATATGGAAAGAGAAGCCACGTCCGTCGGTTTTCAACTATCGTGCGGCTTTAGCTTATGAACTGCGGAGGACCCAGATGCCTGGTCTCGCAGATGAAGTAGCTGCAGGTTAGTCCATATGCTATTTAATATATACTAAAGCTGAAGAGATACGATAAAAGAAATTAGAAAACAAAGAAAGTTACTACCCTCTAAGAATTTGAATCTATGTACGTCCAATTCGGTATTAAATATCAATTTTCGATCCAGGAATCTGTGATGGGGAAGGTGGAGGTTAAAGCGAGCACATTTCTCAAATAGTGCTCACGAAATGGTGGGGGCGGAGGACGGGTCTTTAAAGTTATTAACCTTCAGCTACAGCCTTTGTCAGCAAAGTGGAGAATGCATTATCATATATTTATCTTGCCGGTAGCAAGGTCTAAAAAAGTAGATCAAAAATCAAATGATGATGACAATACTTACAATAATGATAACAATGATAGTAATAATAAGATAATGTTTTTGGTGTAGCGAAATTTAAATCAAAGTGAGTTCTCAAAACAGAGAACAAACAATCAAGATGAAAGAATTACAACTAAATATGTTGTTAGGGAATTGAATACGTACATGTCGGTTTCCTATATTTGTATGAATATCTGTACGAATTACATATGCTCGATTATGGCCTTTATTCGTATATGGCAGGCAAATACATGAAGGAGGGGACAAGTCTTGCATTCATTGAAGACATGGTTCGGGGATTAAAATCAGATCAGCTGGAATGCCTTAGGAATATACTAAAACTGAGTGGAACAGACCGCTGGTCTACGAATACACCCTCAGATACGATCTCCAAGAAGATCTTTGACTGGGTGGCAAAATGGACAAATGCAATGGAGACTTGTCGGAAATCCCGTGCCAGACAACCTGTCAAAACAGACGTGACAACAGTCCCCGGTGGCTCCGTGTTAGGAGACGTTATTGCGACGAGAATGCTTCTTGATCACAGGAATCTAAATGATCTGCTCGTACAGCATGGTTTTCTAGATTTCGCGCGTGAGATTATGATCATAGAGCAACGATCGGTTGCAGGGTTGTTAGCATGAATAGAGCAGACTTTCGCATCGAAACAAAGTCGTCAATTTAGTCTTTGGATTGAGCGTATTATCGGCAATTTAATTTGTTGTTGTTGACATTCTACTATTTTATACCCTCCCCTTTAGTGCCCCCTCCCCCCCCCCCCCCCCAAAAAAAAAAAAAATAAATAAATAAATAAATAAAGGGAAGAATGCCCATTAAATAGTAAGTTTCCGTTATTTACGATGTATGATAATTGGTAGAAGGGGAGAGCATTGTGGAATATGTCGTAAGACAATCATAAAGTTTAGACATGTCAGAGGTCTCTTCTCAGGTGTTTTAATTAGGTTTTTTGTAGACTCTTTGTTCATTTGATCTTCAGCTGGTATAAAATACGTGACTGGTAATTTAGAGGCTATAGTGCATGTTATGAAATTTGGGTAAAAATGTGTAAGACCTCTTCCTCTCTATACCATCGACTATATACTGCATAAGATAACCTGAGTGTAATATGTTAAGTTTTAAACAAAATGCTAGAAAAACATTATAACATTGTATGTATATATTATGTACATGTGTAAGTTCATTTTTATTTAGGGATGCTATGTGCCCACTATAACTCTGGAGGCATTTCCCCTGATTTGAAAGACAGAAAGAGAGAGAGATATATATAGACACTTAACAAATAATGTAATGGAAGTTTAAATATCAATAGCAACATGAATTACATTTTCCAAGGGCCATGTACAATTGCATGAGTTAAAAAAATGAGGGTAATAACATTATTGGGTGGTATTCTCGAAAGCGGCCTAAGTTAAACCTGGCCTAACTTAGTCCGTGGATTAGTTAGGCCAGGCTTAACTTTAGTCCACCTTCGAGAATAGCAAAAGAGATAGTCCATGGTTTAAACCAGGTTTAGTCTATGGACTAAAGATAGTCCGCTTTCGAGAATACCACCCTTTATGTTTATCAGTAAGTTGTTCCCTCTCTGTGTAGCTGTAGCATCTAGTAATCTATTGTACATGTGTCTCTTTATTTTCATTTGTAGTTTATTTGATTGCGATGTTCTGTTTATCAATGATCATCAGTCTGCGAAATTTTACATACAATACACAAATTTATGTTACGTGATTTTTAGCGAACCCATGACAGACTTCTGTACATGTAATAGTTATCAAAACGCTTTATGCAATGGGGGCGCCAATATGATGAAATATACAATTATCTAAGAAGGAATTATTGGTTAGGAATTAGTTCAGGTACGATAATGATCACAAGTCATGGACTTGTTTCGACTTTTACTGTAATATTGTAATATTTTAGTGTTCTATATTTGTTTTACAGTGTAATTACATTGAAGTAAGGGCTCTGTCGCAAGACTTTCTTTCATTCATAAAGATACCATAATTATTATTGTATGCAGAACAAATAATGATAGTAAACAATGCTACATTCATCATACTTTGCAAAATGTTTAGGTTTGTGAAATTAACTTTTAAAAAGAAAGAGGTCTGTAAATATTTGTTGTCGCTATGCATGCTATATGTGTCACGAGGTCCTCTTTCTCATCACAATCTTCATCAATTCGTTATTATGTTTATCAGTTATGATGAATTTCATCTGTTTGTTACATCCCTCTGTACCTGTAGCATCTAGTAATATATTGTACATATGTCGCTTTATTTTCCATTTTTGTATATTTGTTAACGGTTTTCTTCTTATTTGTGAACATCAGCCTGCGAAACTTAAAATACGATACATGAATTTACGTAACGTGTTTTAGCGAGTCCATTACAGACTTCAAAACAAGAAATCAGTTGCAAAGGGTTTTGATCAATGGAAGGGTAAATATGATGAAATATACATGTATATACGAAGAAATTATTGTTACTATTATTACTTAGTTCAGTTACGATAATGATCACAAGTCATATACTTTTTTCCACTTTTACTGCGTCAATCTTATAATGTTTTATTGATATATTTGTGTGTTCCATATTTGTTTTACAGTGTAATTACATCGAAGCAGGGGCTCTGTTGCAAAGCTTTCTTTTATGTGCTAGATAGATCATGATATTGTGTGTAGAACACATAATGAGAGCAATTAATAATACATTCATTATAATTTTCGAAATGCGATAGCTTTATGGAACTTTATGGAAGCAAGAGGTATGTAAATATTTGTCGTCGTTAATAGGTATGCAAATAGTGTCACAGGGCCCTGCATGTACTTCATCATAACCCTCATCAATGATCTCAAGACCCATCATCCAAACTCGCTATCAAATCCAAGGATTTTTCTGGATGATATTTTCATCATAATTATTTAATTTTTATTTTGTTAGATGAGGGATTGTATCATTAAAGCATTAGAACTAAATAATATCGAAAGGAAATGCATTTATTTACAATATAATTCATGGATCGAAGCTGACAATGAGCTTGAATATATTACCAACAGGCTTAGAATGTAACATTTACGTTAGAAAAAAGAAAATACATACAAACATATTTCATATTGCAGATTTCTAATTGTTTTGGAGGCGAATTTCCAACTTTTGTAGCTAAAAGAATGATACCATTAATAATTAAACTTTCTAATTTCTAATATGTCTCAGTCTCTAAAGTATGGCAAAGCCACATCCCTGACTATTATTGCATCTGGATTATGAATAGTGACGGACGGTTGAAAGTGTGATGTGCTTTCATCTGAATATTGTTGGAAAATTGTTGTTTATCCCAATCATTATTTCCAACCCTGCATATTCTTGCCAAAACGATGATAATAATCATCTTATTTTTAGAGAAACATTTCCCAAGTTACTAAACAGGATGACACGGGAAAATGATGAGATCATGACAGGCAATAGGGATCATCGAAAACAGTATATTTAGCTAACTACATACACATCATACATAATTTTGGAGAGTGAGAGAGGGTTGAGGAAAGGGAGGGAGGGAGGGAGAAAGAGAGAGAGAGAGAGAGAGAGAGAGAGAGAGAGGATATTTATGCTAATATACGAAACATTAAACATTTCTTAATGTGGATGCAATCGAGAAAAGAAAAGCAAAGTTTCAATGCATTCACATACTCTATAGTATATTCTAATCGAACATCTTCATGAGGCTGTGCATTACCTGAGTCTGATTTGTGGACTTAGTAAAATAATCTTTCTGTTGTCACTTTAAACTGGACAGAAATTAGTTTGGAAACGCCAACCACAGTTCAAAGTCATGCTTGCCTATGGCATAATGTCATAAAATTATGCACACTCAGGACAATGGCGTAGCCTGGGCTCAGTCATGAGAGAGGGGTTCACCAGTCGTTAGTATACAAAAAACGCTGATCTAGCATATTATGCTAGAGACTATGAATATGACAGACAAAGAAAGCGGACTAAATATACAGTTCCTCAGGTAGACAAAGGAACATCCCTTCAAAGGAACATCCCTTCACTGCTATTATGTAAAAAGGTGAATATGCATGTGACACCTGCTCTACACACTTTTTTACATAATAGCAGTGAAGGGATGTTCCTTTGTCTACCTGAGGAACTGTATATTTTGTCCGCTTTCTTTGTTAGTCATATTCATAGTGAGATCAGCGTTTTTTTGTATAGTCACGGCATCCTTTATGGAGTTTCGCGTCACCCAAATCCACCATTCATCAAATAGGATGTGTTTTACATCCCTCGTATACAGTATATACGTAAACATATACTGGCACATTTTCGCGTTAGGGCCGTGAGGGCCTCCTACCTCCAAATCCGGATCTCAAATATTGCGAGCTAGCGAAATGTTATGTAGCTTCAATAAGAGATTAAATTAAATGCATTTCTTGTGCAACATACAAATCAAATTACATTTCATATTCGGGTAATATGCTTTTTTTTTATTTTGAAATATAGTTTATTGTTCATTCACTGCACCACAAATATTAACGGAATAATAATTTATATAAATCAACACAATATTGCAAGATATTGAAATTAAATTACTTTTAACATGAATGACACGTATGATAAACGTAATCTTTTCATGTTTACATCTCGTTATCAAATCATTACAAATGCATAACAATAGTACATTTATAATACTAACGATCATAGAGAAATGAAATGATTATATTCAGTTAATCATTTATAACAATACGTTATGCACTGAATGTGGTGCTAGAATCATAACAATAAACGGGCGACGAGGTGCCCGAATATCGTCATATCATCATCCTATGGGGATATGCATAGACCTCACTGTCTAAAACTATCATGTTTTAGACAATTTTCTGAAATTATATTTCTTCATCAAAATACCCCAAAGTCATAAATAATTTGGCTTCTTGTAGTTTCTGATACTCTGTTTTCATGGAGATGACGTTATTTCAAAACATTATTTTAATATAAGTACCTAAATTAATTTCGCGGCGCCCGATTAAAAAACGCTAAACTGTGAGAGGAAAGATTAACTAAGCCGGGGAAATTATCCCTTACCCTTTTAGAGTGGGAAGATTTTACGTTTTAAAGTAAGGCCCTAACACACATACATACTCTGATTCAGTCTCTTTCTAGCTTTCACCCCTATCTCCTTTTCCTTTTGTTCCCTGCCGTACGCTACACCAAGGACGCAGATCGGATCATCCCAAGCATTTTTTGATAATCGTTTAATGGACCTCTTACAACAGATTTTATTTAAGATGTATCATGTTGTCCCAACGGTACTGAGTCAGATAATATAATAATCTTTAAAGAGCGTCTTTTTGCCCTTTGAGAGGGGGGGGGGGGGGCAATTGTCTCTTTGTCCCTTCTCCAATAGCTACGTCACTGGCTCAGATTACGGACTTTGATCATGCCTCACGTGGTATGAGTGATAGATTTTTATGATAACAAATATTAGAGTAAACATCAGACTGAATTCAAGCATTTATTCCAGGTTTATATAGTCATGTGCAGAGACGTTGTTTGAACCGTTTTAAGGGGGTG